CCTACCTACCTACCTACCTACCTACCTACCTACCTACCTACCTACCTACCTACCTACCTACCTACCTACCTACCTACCTACCTACCTACCTACCTACCTACCTACCTACCTACCTACCTACCTACCTACCTACCTACCTACCTACCTACCTACCTACCTACCTACCTACCTACCTACCTACCTACCTACCTACCTACCTACCTACCTACCTACCTACCTACCTACCTACCTACCTACCTACCTACCTACCTACCTAACCCTAACCCTAACCCTAACCCTAACCCTAACCCTAACCCTAACCCTAACCCTAACCCTAACCCTAGCTGATGCCTCGTCAACCCTAGCCCCACTCCATTCCTCCCCACTGACCACCACTAACCCTAACCCTAACCCTAACCCTAACCCTAACCCCTACCCATCCCACCCATGACCCACATCCACTTTCCCACCCACCCCACCATACTCATTCTCCACCGTACCATGCGCATGGCTGTGCATGGGCGTGAATTGAGTATTTGATGGTGATTCACAATCTCGATCCCCCCATTGACACTTGCTGGTGTCACTCGTTCGTCCGAGTCGCATGTGCGGGTTGGTGGTGACATGAATGTCATTCAACATTTTCATGATTCGCCACTCGTGACTCGTTGGATTGTTTGACATTGAATTGATTGTCATTGATTGTTGTTAATTGATCATTCGATTCTTTTCTTTTCTTGTTGGTGGCTATCCATGTTCTTTGTTCTTTGCCGTTCATGTTTCCACATGCTTTGTTGTTGCTATTGTCGGCCTTCATGTTCTGCTGTGGTTGCTCTTGCCTTTGATGGTTGACTACAATCGACATGCATTCCCATTCATCATTCCTTTCGCTTTGTTGTTGCTTTGTATCTTTATTCGTCATGCTGCAATTGTTCTTGATTCCCTGTTTTCATCGACTTTGACTTCCACATCCATGATCGACCGTTGCTCACTACACCATCGATTCTCAACTTTGTTGTCGTTGGCTATGGTCAATAGTTGTGCATGCAATGTATTTTGTGTTGACCCTGTTGTGTCGTGGTCTTGGTTGATCTGCTGATCGATCAACCGCGTCTGCCTTAACGACCACAACGTCACCCGAGTCCATCCTTTTGCCTGCCAGCTTTACTCAGTCCCTGTTGGCTTACTCATACGTGTGCTGTGCAAGCCATGTATGATCTTTGGTTGTTGTTGTGGACGTCATTGCCTCGTTTGATGCTGGTTCCGGCTTTCTTCAATTAATTCAACGCTCAACTCAATTAACGTCCGCCGCCTTCCCTCGCCGCCCGAGCCCCTCCACCCTCATCACCTACACCCCACACACAGCCATTAGCCGTATCATACTCACCTTCATCAATGCTCAAGCCCAATCGCCATATCTACTTCCATTTTGCCCGTCACGACCCCACGTCACGACCCCCCTCATCGCCCCTACCATACTCATTACGCCCGTCACCACAAACGACCACCCCACCCCCTATCCCACCACCATCATTATCATCCTAGCTACAACCCCACCCACAGGTCGTGCCCATACTCACCACCATCTCGTCGCGCACTCGGCTTCCTCTTCCTCCTCATCGTCGTCCTCTCCCCGCTCTACCTCACCCCCATCCTCTACCCCGACTCCGACACTGCCATTCGTCAACCATCACATGCCAGACTGCCTGTCCTCCAACCAATAGCAATTTCGAGCCACCCAGCCTCGATCCCGCCCCCTCCGTTGCCCCTGCTTCGCCGACCACCAGCCGCCAGCCCGTCAATGCTCTCCCGTCAACCTCCTTCTGGACCCGGGGTCCAAGGGTCCAAGCCCCTCCCCTTACCCCCCTCTACCATTAATCACGAACGATTTATCAATGTGACGCTTCCCTTCGTCCACCTTGGCACCCTCCTTCCTTTCTCCCACGCCGCCAAAAGTTTCTCCTCGACCAGGGGTCCACGGGTCCACCACCTTCTCCTCCCCCCCACTCCCTCCTCTCTCCCTTCATTAGCACCAATGAGCATTCAATAACACCGTTCTTGCAGCCACCACGCTCCTGGGCTCGGAGACTTAGGATCGAACTCGTTCCTCCGCTGGCCCTCCATCACCTCCCACCCCTCCAAACTTTCTCTCGGATCCGGTGGTCCAAGGCTCCAAACTCCCCTCGCCCTCACAGACACGCCGCCGTCCACGGCTGACGCCTCGGCGCACGTCGTCACTAGCTACAGATAAGCACGCCCGCTACCTTTCGCAACACACCGGCTGTACCCATTAGCCTTGAGATGTGCCAGCCTTGCCTGTATCGGAGGAGGGCAGTTGACTAGAGTCGAGTTCGGCTGTCGGGTGGCGGGCCTTCGGACGTAGGCTGGTGCCGCGAGGGTGCCACAGTCGTTGCCGTCCGCAGCTCAGGTCACGAAGAGAAGACGATATTTTCCATCTTAACAGTTGTGACGCTCGGGATGACAGCAGCACGATTGCGACTCAGGTATGCATTGCGTGAGGCGTCACGATCGACGTCCAGATAGCTGGAGAGCTCAAGGGAGAAGGCGAACACTGCAAGAGTTCGAAGATAGGCCGGCAGATGCTTGAAGGTCAGCCGGTTTGCAGTGACGTTCTTCAAGACACAGAACGTGTTCTCGGCCCGCACATCACGCGCCTGCTCCTCAGCCACGCCAAGCGGGCACTCGACCAGCCACCCTTTGATGGCGTCCGCGTTGTCAGAGACGATGACATGAGACTCCTGCCCGCTGCTCGTGCTGTCGTCGTCCTCACTCTCGCTGGAATGGTTGCCGTGCGCGCGCACCATGTCATCGCTGTAGTTCCAAAGCGCGAGGTGATAGACGTGGGCGCTAACAAGCGCAGGGGCGAAGCGAGACGAGGCAAGGAGGTCGGCGGCCTCATCAGCAAGGGCCTGTGCGTCGTCACTGTCAACAGGAACAAGAACAACCTCGTCGCATGACGTGATGATGAGCTCTGAGCAGCGGTCACCCAAGTTCGAGCTGAGGAGAGTGGCAATAGCGCGGGTCATGGCAAACTGCACGAGACGGACAGCGTCCGGGAGAAGCGACCCCAGAGCCACTAACCGATGGCGCTTGCTGAGATGTCCCGAGGCGCGACTGGATCCCATATGGGCTCCGACAAAGTCCGCCCAAGATGCCGCCGATCCGACAAACGCGCCGTTACCGGTGATCGCGTCGGCGATGGCCGAGACCGCCACAAAATTGGCAGCCTTGAGGTCGACGGACACCAGGTCCTGGCCCATGAGCTCCGGGTGGTACTTGGACCTCCATGTCATGTTGACTGGCAGGTCCCACATCGCAGCCGAGCTGTCCGGGGCCGGCGGAAAGTCGTCCGGCGGGTTATCCAGCCATCGCTCTGCGATAGCAGCCCAGCCGATCGCAACAAGCTCATCAGCCGTGAGGCTGCGCACGGCGTCGAGGTCGGGGTCGGACTGCCACGCCGCATGGATGGAGTCAAGGCACTTCCACGCTTCTTGGTTGTCTTTCTCCCATTGGCTCATGTTCAGCTGGTAGTTGTTCCAGCGAACCATGGCCGACTTGTCGGGAGCGAGCAAAAGCGCAAACTCAAAGGCAGGTGACTGAAGGTGGTCCGCGTCGATGCGCAAGCCGATGGCGCCGGCAAACGTGCGACGACTGCGCTCGATTTTTTTGAGCTTTTTGGCGCAAGAGCCGCGGATAACACTTTTCTGAAGGCGGAGGAGGTCGTTGTGGCGGTTGTCGTCGGCCTCGGCCCGGTCAAGGAGCCTGTCGAGGAAGACGGGCATGAGCGGGAGACGCAGCGATGACGAGCCAAAAGCTCGCGCCAGAAGGTCAAACGTGTTCGGGTTGTCCCGGACGTCAGGCGAGAGAATGGCGTCGTCGATCGCAAGCTCGACCGCCAGACGGTTGAATGCAGTACCCGCGAAAGGATCTGCAGACCGGCCGCCAGCCAAATCGTACGCGTCGTCGGAGAGATACTCCAAGGCCGACAGGTCGGCGCAGCGCCAGAGGTAGCTCGGAGCAGGATGAGAATCCTCTGGACACCACCGATCATGGCCCATGACGGTCTGGATGCAGACGGTGACCGGCCGGTTACAGCGGGTGTTGTCGACGGGTAAGAGGTTGACGAATACTCGGCCGCGGCCTAGGACCGCATCCTTGGGCGTGGGCTGCCCCGCGCACGCACACGTCCAGCCGCTTCGCAGCACAATGGCGTTGGATCGACCACTCAGATACGCCCTCGTGCTTTTCGTGTCTTGAAAGGTGAAGCGGAAGGAGGCCTGCTTGTCGTTGTCCGGGTAGATCGAGGCAGGGGTACTGAAGGCAAGCTTGTAGAGGTAGATGTAGCCGTTGGAAAGGCGCTCGATGTTGTCGCCGGTGGCCCAGATAATGCCACAGCTGCTGCAAGCGACCTCGAATCCCTTGTGATTCGAGCCCGGCACGGTGTATAATTGCTTGAGCGCCGGGTGGACATCGAAGCCAGAGTCGGTTGACCCTGGCACAGCCGACGGCAGCCAACCGTCCGACTCTGCCGTCTCAATGTCGATCTTGCCCGGCATTCTCGTTGAAGCCGACGGCGGGTAGTTGGGGTATCGCAACGGTTTCTTGTGCGCACCCTTCCTTCCCAGGCGACCATGACCACGGGGACTTCGCGTCCGCGCAGACGACAAATGCTGGTCGGAGGCTGACGCACCACAGCACCCTTTTCCCCGGCCCCGGCCCCGGCCCCGGCCCCGGCCCCGGCCCCGGCCCCGACCCTGGTTCCGGCCCCGGCCCCGGCCCCGGCCCCGGCCCCGACCCTGGTTCCGGTGCCCACGCGCTCCTTTACGGTTGCTGCTTTCCATGTTGCCGCAAGAAAGGTATGCCTGTTTCTGCAGAGTTGCCGTGTCTGCCCTTGGTTGGTTGCCGGGTCGTTACAACTGCCCTCGGTTTGCCGAAGAATACCGAAATGTGCTGCACTAGTGCGGCGCGACGATGGGGATGGTAGTACGGCAGCCTGACGCTTTGCCATCATCGGCAGGGACTCCACTTGATGGGCGTGAATGCGATGGGTGATCGGCGTAGCGCCCGCGCTCGATCCCTGTCTATTCGCAGCAGACCAAGGAGATCGTGGCGGGGTGCCGGACGGGACCTGCTCGTAAGCTTTTGCTGTCAGGAGCAGATCATCTGTGCTGACGGCGTGGCGGCGCATGCGCCCTGGGTCTAACCTTGCGGCACAAGCGCAGGAAGCAGCTGCTGTAGCTCACACATCGCATCGTCGGGCAGCGACTGGAGGTCGTGGGGATGGACTGTATTGCTGCTTGGCTCGGGCGTCTGCGGCATCAGGCTATCCGCTCTCCGACTTTTGGCGAATGAATCAAGCTCCGCGACCAGACCCGCTGCCCTCGAAAGAAAGTAGTTTTTTAGTTGCGCCACGTGTCCATGGACATGCCCGTGACACCGACAAAGGCACTCCTCGCCCCGTCGAGGTCGGGGAGACGGAGCTGCAGGGGAGCGAGGGAGACTTGTGTCGCTCCCGCGTGCTGGACGAGTGCGGACGCGGTTCTCCTTACCGCGCTCTTGCCCTTGAAACCAAGCGTGGCCGGGGCAGGCGACATGACGCCCGGGCCGTTCCAGTCTGCCGGAGCTGCGAGGTGTTGCAGGACGGCAGCGGCGTCATCATCAAGACCGAGGGCGCGGATCTCGTCGGCGTGGTTGGCACTCCACTCATCGTCGAGAGTGAGGACTAGGAAAGTGCTCAAGGCCGTGATGTGAGGAGGGACAGCTTCGCCATAGCCATTGATGCGCTCCACAACGTATACCCGCACCCAGCAACAAAGGCCATGGTCGCCTACCTTCACGCTTCAGTTCAGATCATGGCCCAGATCTTCACCCAGTCTCCTCCAGTACTCGCGAAGCGCGCCCGCGCTGCTACCGTGCTCCGCGACGTCATTCTTGCCGCCGAGCCCGATGTCGGATGCTCTGCTGTGGCCACGGCGTACCGCGCGTCGATCGGCCCACTAGAGTGGGTGATTTCGCATTTTCCGCCTGTTGTGGCGCGTGCGTTAGATCGCCCCCATGCTCTTATTGTTTGCACGGCTCCCACGGCGCTGGCTTGGGACGACGACGACTGGGACGAGCTCGACTCGCCTCTCCCAGCCACTCCAGATGGGCATGCGGCTAGTCCCGAAAGTGCTTTCGAGCACAAGTGGAGGCCAGTGATCTCCGAACTCGAGGCAGTTCAGGCTCGCTCGCGTGGAACTGGGATCTCGACGACGGACTAGTCCAATCTCGATGCTCCAGTAACGCGCGGTTTCGCTTCGCTGTGAGGTGTGCCACGACGACGACGTCACCGCGCCTCACACACCTCCCAATCGCCCACCCGCACCCACACCCCACCACCACCCTCTTCAAGTCACTTAAATTAATTACAGATCCAGCAACGCAGATGGGCGGATCCTTCGGAGTACAATCCACGCGCGGACGGGGAAGGAGGGGGGGGGGATCAGCGGGGACATTGGCATGCCTATGCCGCCGAATCGGTCTTGCTCTTGCTCACCGACGCAGCGGCTTGAGCTGCCTGCTGCTCGCGGTACTTGATCGAGGTGTACCACATGACGCCAAAGACCGCGCCGACCATTCCGAGCGCGCTGCGGGCCGAGACCGGCGAGTTGAGGAAGAGAACGCCAAAGGTGAGAATGAGGATGAGCTTGAAATGGCCGACAACATGAAAGGTTAGCGCCGACGTGTAGTAGATGAGAGACGACGAGGAAATGTTGAGCGAGGCAGCCATGGCGCACGTCACCAGGATGAAGAAGATCCGTGACGAACCTTCGACACTCGGGTCGAGGTCGGCGTTGAGCAGGCCGGTGAGTTCGCCGACCGGGTCGTTCTCGACGAGGACCGATGCAAACGCAAACGTTGCTGCTGCCCACGGGTACATGAAGAAGTTGACCTGGTACGTCGAGAGGCCGAGCCGGACAGGCACCGACTTGGTCCACATCGAGTTGGCTGCAGAAGCGAAAATCGCCACCACGCAGCACAGCGCGCCGCCGGCCGTCAGCGTCACGTCCGAAATGGAGACAAACGCCACAGAGATGCAGATGATCGCCAGCGATAGCTGCGTCGCTATCGGAACCCGCGTGCCGTGCAGCATAAACTGCAGGGCGGCCGTGACCGGCGTCACAAGCAGCTTCGAGAGCTGGTACGTGCCGACCGAGTTGAGTTTGAGCGAGAGGTTGAACGACGCCACCGTGACAAAGAACACACTCACCATGAGCAGCACGTCCCTCAGCGGCATCGGCTTGTACTCCTCATACCCAAGCTTCATCAGCGCCACCACAGAGAGCCACGACGTCATCAGATGCATCGACGTGAGCATAAAGATGCACTCGATGTGCACACTATCCATGAGCCACTTGTTGATCAGAATGAGGCCTACCGACGAGACCACGTTCCACAGCACATACCCCAACGACATCAGCACTCCGGACGCCCCCATCTCTGCTGCGCCTATTCTACCTCTCGGTCTACCTAGCCCCGCTGCCAGACAACTCTTGCGTGCTCTTCCTCGTCCTCCTCGCCGCCTTCTCCACCGTAGTTCCGGCGGCTGCGGATCACCGCCAGCGCCCCACAACGCGCGCCCAGCGAGGGTCCGGACGCGAGCAAAAAAAAAGTTGGAGCTTGCATGAATCGAACACGCGACCTTGTACATGCGAAGCACACGCTCTACCAACTGAGCTAAAACCCCAATTGAGAGAATGACAGCGTCTCTTTGCTAATTGTATCATACACTGCATTGCCCACTTTACCGACCAACTTTCCTCCAACCCCCATCCTTCAACCCCCCTACACCCCCACCGCCACACCCCTCGCTCGCTCTCCTCGTTCACATGGACGACCTCATTGCGGCATACGGTGACGGTGGCCGCCGTGCAGCGGCTCCACAACCTCCTCCGCCATCAGGAGCGGCGCCGTCGACACAGCTCGCTGTTGTCGCCGCTCCGCGTGTCGCACCGCGGGCAGGCGGCGGCCGACTCACGGCTTCGTCGGCATATGCGGTCTCGGGTGCGCTGGTCGTTGCCGGGCCGCACCACCCGCAGCTGGACGCTGCGCGCGGTGCGGGCGCTAGCCGTGCACAGCCAGTCGCCTTTGAGCATGCGGCGTTCCAGGACGCTCAGCGCGCGGCGAACAAGCGGCTGCGCGGCGCCCGGCCACGCGCTGGCGCCAAGCGGGCCCGCGGCGATCCGGGCTCTGTTGACGACAACCCGGTAGCGTACCTCGGCCCGTGGGCAGAGTACGCCGGCGCCAAGACCAAGCAGGTCATCACGCCCGAGCTCGAGGCGTACATGCGCGAGGCCAAGCGCCGCAAGCGGATCAAGGACGGCCTCGATCCGGACGCGCCGTCGGACGACGGCGGTGAGGGCAACGACGCCGCGGCCGATGCCGCTGTGGGCGCGAGTGCGTCGGGCGCCGCCGCTGAGGCGGAGCCGGTCGCCGCCGAGCCTGCGCTTGAGGCAGCCGCTGGCCCGTCGTCCACCCCGGCGCCCGCAGAGGTGTCCACCTTTTACGGCGACGCCCTCTTCGACTACCAAGGTCGGTCGTGGCTGGCGCCGCCGGCCGGCGTCAAGGCCTCGGCCCTCGACCTTGTGGCCAAGGTTCCATCCAAGTGCCACTACACCTGGTCGTCCGGCTCCGACAAGGGCTTCTCCAAGATCCAGCTCTTCCCCGGCACCGGGCACCTGCTGCTCGCAGCCTCGCTCGATGGCCCGTCCGCATCTACTCAGTCTCGGGCCAGAAGAAGCTCATGCGCGACTACCTCGGCCACAGCGCCGGCGTCAAGGACATCAACTTTAACCACGACGGCTCGTCGTTCCTCACCGCCTCGTACGACTCGACCGTCAAGGTCTGGGATACCGAGACCGGGGCCTGCATCCGGACGTACGCTCTCGGCGACGGCGTCCACCCCAACTGCGCTCGTTGGCAGCCGAACCCGACCATCGATCCCTCGTCGTTCCTGGCCGCCCTCTCGTCGTCGCGCATCGAGCAGTTTGATGTCCGCGCCGACTCGCCGGCCTTTACCCAAGAGTACAAGGAGCACCTCTCCGCCGTCCACGGCATCTGCTTTGTCGAGGGCGGCAAGCGCTTCGTCTCAACCGGCGACGACAAGGCCGTCCGCGCCTGGGAGTGGGGTATCCCCGTCCAGATCTCCAACGTCCGCGAGCCGCACATGCACGCCATGCCGACCATGGCCCTCCACCCCAAGGGCAAGCACCTGGCCGGCCAGTGCCTCAACAACCAGATCCTGGTCTACACCGCTGCCAAAAGTTCAAGCTGTACAAGAAGAAGCGCTTCATGGGCCACAACAACGCCGGCTACGCCCTGCACTTGGCCTTCTCGCCCGATGGCTCCATGCTCTCCTCCGGCGACGCCTCGGGCAAGCTCTGGTTCTGGGACTGGGGCCACTCCCGCATCATCAAGTCCTTCAAGGCCCACTCTGACGTCCTTGTCGACGTCGCCTGGCACCCGCTCAACCCCTCGTGGATGTTCACCGCCTCATGGGACGGCACTGTCAAGTTCTGGAAGTAGTCCCCGCCTACACTCCCTCCGATCCTGACCTCAACAAAGCCATCCAAATGCTCACCAATGTCTCCTCCCAATTCGGCACAGCATTCCTCTCACTTCCGCATTCCACCCGCCCCTTGTACGCAAACCTTCCATTGCCCCCCTCCCACACACATTCTCCCTTCTTCTCCAGCACACTCTCTTCATCCCAGCACACATCCTACCCTTACCCACACGATAGCCCCTCCCGACAAGCCCCTCCCGCCTTCCTCCATCCTTCCTCGGATCCCTTCTGCACCCCTCGCCTGTTCCGCAGCCACAGGTCACACAACTTGTGAGGTCAGCGACATCGGCGACGTCAGCCCCAACACCCCCCTTCCCCCCTCCCCCCCTTCCCCCACCACCACGCACCCACACTCACCACACCTTACTTCCATCTATCGTCCTACAGATCGCAGCATGTCTGCGTTCCGGAGGAAGGTGGCTATCACCACGCCAGACGGATCTCAGGTTGCGCTGCCCGGCCGTGCTGCTGAGGCCGCCAACTGGCGCGACAAGATTGCCCGCCCGCCCACTCGGCCGAGTCGGACCACGACACACCGGGCGCGCAAGACCAAGCCCCAGAATGCGCCCAAGAAGGGGAAAGGCAAGGGCAGGGGAAAGGGCAAGACTGCTCATGGCCCGGTCCTACACGTCCGCAACGTGACTGCCGACGTGTCCGAGGCCGATCTGCTCTCGCTCGTCCTCTTCTGCGGCACGGTCGTCAAGTCGCTCATCATGCGCTCGCGCAACCAGGCCCTGCTCGAGATGGAGAACGCGACTCAAGCAGCAGCAGTCGTGGCCCGCTACGCTGGTCAGCCTGCCAAGGTCCGCGGCCGCTCGCTCTGGTTCCAACACTCGTCACACGCACGCCTCAACGAGTCCTCCGCCGACAAGCCCAAGTTCAAGTCGGCCGCCAAGTCGCTCTCGCGTGTCCTGCTCGTCTCGGTACTCGGACTACCGCAAGACGCGTCCGCAGTAACCGCAGACGCCCTCCGCGCCGCCTTTGCGCCCTTCTCTGCCTCGCCCGAGAAAATCGTTGTCTTTGACAACGGCGCTGTCACCAAGGCTCTTGTCCAGATGCCGTCTGCCGACGCTGCCGCTGCTGCCGTCGACCGCATGCAGAACACGCCACTCGCCCCAGCCGATCCACGCGCTCCGGGCGTCCTTGACCTGCAGTTCTCCAAGAAGCAGCAGACGTTGACGCTCAAGTTTGACACGCAGTTCTCGCGTGACTACACCGCTGCCGAGCCCACTGCCGAGTCCGCGCCTACGCCCACGCCCGCGCCCGCGCCCACGCCCACGCCCACCCACCCAGCCTAAGCTTGCGCCCGCAGAGTCCGAAACGGCGTCGTCTACACCGGGAACGATCCTGATTCACAACCTGACCTCGTCGCGCCACTCGCTCGACGCGCTCTTCAACCTCTTCTCGTCGTACGGCAACATCACCAACATCTCGCTCCTTGACGGCGGCGCGGCGCTGGTCACCTTTTCCTCGGTCAACGCCGTCGCTGCCGCCACCGCCGCCCTCGACGGGGCCACCCTCTTTGACGACGCGCTCGCAGTCACGCCCGAGCCCGAACCGTCCGCGCACACCGACGCGCTGCTGCGCGGGTGCTCGTACGCCGACTCGCCTCTCAACCGCTTCCGCTCCACACACGGCAACAACGCCAAACACGTCGCCCTTCCTCGGCTCGCCTCCACCTCTCCAACCTCGCGTACTCGCTTCCCGAGCCCGAGCTCGTCGACCTCCTCACCCGCGTCGCCGGTCCACCGCTCGCTGTCAATGTCTTCAAGTCACGGACCAAGCGGCAGGCACTCGTCGACATGCCCTCGGTCGCCGCTGCCATCGATGCCCTCGCCTCTCTCCACGGCGCCCTCGTCCACGGTCGCTCCATCCGGATCGCCTTCTCCTCTTCGCCTTCATCCACATCCACCTCCGCCCCTCTCTCTCCCCCACTTCCCGTTGCTGATGCTCAGCTCCGCTGCCACCCTGATTGCGATAAAGTATGACCCAGACTCGAGCCCCCAACATGCCTGCTTCCAGCCCGCGCTCTCGTTGAAAAACCACACTCCCACGTTCTCACTCCCGACGCCTTGCACTCCCTCTCCCACCCGCTCAATGACTTTCTCCACACTGCATACACCACAACAAGCTCCCTCGCTTCGCGCTACTCGCCTTCTACAGCCCACTGCAGCCGACTGACGTCCGACGCTACCCAAAAACGCGTGATCAACCAACACAAAGACGGTGACATAGTAAACATTACTCGACACTCTGAGCGAAACGGACGCCGCGCACACAAGTCCGAGTTCAGGCACACTTGGGCGTTCAAGGCCAAAGATCCCGATCGGCTCAACGGACGCCGCGCACACAAGTCCGAGTTCAGGCACACTTGGGCGTTCAAGGCCAAAGATCCCGATCGGCTCAACGGAAGCCGCGCACACAAGTCCGAGTTCAGGCACACTTGGGCGTTCAAGGCCAAAGATCCCGATCGGCTCAACGGAAGCCGCGCACACAAGTCCGAGTTCAGGCACACTTGGGCGTTCAAGGCCAAAGATCCCGATCGGCTCAACGGAAGCAGACCAAAGCCACAGCACTGTTTAATGGTTCGACCGACGCGAGGCGAGCAGGATCCGCCGGAGCGCGTCAAGTCCCGGGAGCGGGAAGAAGCCCGGCGAGGTGAGGAAGAGGAACGGGGCAGCAAAGGCGGCCTTGAAAAAGTACGCCACCGCGTCCTCGGATGTCTGCTGAGAGGTGTACGAGAGGATGCGCCAGAGCTCGGTGGCAGCGAGGACGTAAATAGCCAGCCCACCGAGGGTCGAGATGAGCGGGAAGCTCGAGAGCCAGTGGAAGGTCAGCGCGAGGTCCGACGGCGCAAGCTCGGTCTGCGCCAGCGTGCCCACGAGGACCGTCGCCGTCGAGGCGAGGAACGCCACCGTGTGGACCTTGGACGCAATCATCCACGAGCCAAACTCGTGCCAGACCGACGGCCGGCCAAACGGCGACATCAGCGCCATGGTGCCGTAGATGGCGAGGAGTGCGACCGCGAAGCCCTTGGAGACGTCCAGCGCCACGTAGAAGGCACCCACAACAAGCGCCACAATGTATCCCGCCGTCGCCGCGCCCATCACCGGCGCGAGGTCAAACTTGGGCCGCGCAAGCATGCCACGGATCCACTTGCCGGTTGGCTGCTCCATCCACGCCGGAATGACCCACAGCACCGCGAGCGTCAGCACAAGGTTGTGGAAGGCGAGCAGCGCAAACGCCAGGTACCACATGTGATGGCTCTTGTGCGGGACCACAGAGAGAATCCACGCGTCCGCAAACCAGCCCGTGATCGACACAGACTGCGCCACAAACGTATTCATCGGGTTGCCCCACATCGCCTCGGCAAGCGGCCACGTCCAGCAGTTCTCCGGCTGCATGAAGAACGCAAGGAACTGCGGGAGCCACACCACGCACTCGAGCGCAGAGAGCGCAACCCAGAGGTACTCGGCCCACCGGTACTTGCTCCGGTCCACATCGCCGCCCTTCTCGGCAACGTCCAGAATCCGCACGCACACGTACGGCACGCCCACCTGCGGACCCGCCACCACCGCAAGCGCAGTGTACTTCCACGCCTCGCTGCCAAAGCCCCACCGGTGCGCCGTCACGTAGCAGTACACCGCACACATCGGCCACAGCAGAATCCAGTCCGAGAACCACGCTGTCGACGCCGGCGACTCGAGCGCATCCTCCAGCGGCGAGCATCCATCACACGTCGCGTACCGCCCAACAAGCAGCCCGGCGTAGAACTCCACCGCCGCGTATGCACCCCACGCGAGCCATGCCTATTGCCCCACACCCACATTGCCATCATCAGTCAGTCCCTCGCCGCCGGTGCTTTGCCGACCGATCGCCGCCCGCATTCCCCCCCCCACACCTCCATCCTTACGTACATAGGCCGAGAATCGGACAAGGCCGCCCGTGTGGACCATGACCCAAGGAATGACAAAGGCACCAAGCATGATGGCAATGTTGCCGACAAACAGCGGAAAGTACGGGATGCCATGCTCCACCGTCTCGCAACCGACCCACAGGTCTACCCCCCCGCACCCGGACCACGCCGAGCCCACCAACCCCACCACCGCCACCATCACCGCCACCACACCATGTCAACCCACGACACGCCATCATCACCACACACACACACACACACACACACACACACACACAAACACACATACACACATACACACATTGTCAGTCCCCCCTCCCTCCCCACCCCCTCCCTTCTTCTTCCCCCCCCCCCCAAACGCGCCAAAAATCTTGACACGCGTGCCAACCACCCGCCAACACCATCGGTTCATATCTTCGTTTGCTGGCGTCCTTCCCCTTCCCCCCCCCCCCTCCCACGCACCCCTACGTCCCTGTTCCCCTACCACCCACTCACAACGCAGTCACTGGCCCTCACCCACCCTATCACCATCTTCCACATACCATGCATGATATCCGTCAAAGACGCCACCGTAGCTGCCATGGTTACGTCGTAGTTGAGTGGTAGCCCTTCCTCCCTGTACACGCCCCCCTCCCTCAGTTACCCACGCATTTTCTACCATTTGCCCCTGCTCGCGCCAGTTCAGCAAAGTGCCGAGCAAAAGTGGCAAAATGCCACACAGCCACAGCCAACGATTACCTCAACCATCAATCATGTCACCACCCCTCCCGCCCCCCCCCCCCCCAAGCCCCATCCCCACTATGCACCGCCGACCGCTTACAGCTTCACAACTAAGCCATTCATCACCACATCGACAGCCTCCTTCGCTCTCGGCTTCTATATCTGCTATTCAGGCCCGAACGGCCTCACTACGGGCTTCGTTGGCCGAGCCGCCAGCGCGCCAGCTTTCGCGCCCAGCAACGTCGTCGTCGGCTGCTCGTCGGCGGACCGCACCGGCAGGCCCACCGCCGCTGGGCCACCTTGCTGCCACCGATGCAGGAAGTTTGGCCCGGCTCAAGGCGCAGAACGCGTCGCTCTCGCGGGAGGCTGCCGCAGCCGTCGCCCGCGAGGCCCAGCTCGAGCGCAAGGCCAAGCTCGCCGTCCGCCGGGCCGAAGCCGCCGAGTCGCGCGCCCGATCGCTGGCGGCCTCGGCGGCGTCGTCGGCCGCTACCGCCTCGCCGGACTCGCGCGCTCACCGCAAGGTCATGGCGCTGACCAAGGAGGTCCAGGGAGTTACCGCAGAGCTGCTTTCAGCCCGCTCGCGCATCGCCCAGCTCGAGGATGACCTGAGTCAGGCTCGCGCTGGCAGCCACCAGTCCGACGTCGATGCCGGCGCCCTCCGGGTCGAGCTCGCCCAGCTCCGCGGCGCTCTCGATGTCGTCACGGCAGAGCGGGACAAGTTTCGCGGCTCAGCTTCTGGCTACGCCGCATCGCTGGAAAAGACGGAGGCGACGCTGGCAGAGACCTCTGCTCGCCACGCCGAGCTCGCCGCCGCCCACGCTGCTCTCGAAGCTCAGTCGTCCGAAGCCGCCGCCGACGCCGCCGCTCGCATTGCCTCGCTCTCACGCGACCTCGACCTCGCCAACTACACCCTCCAGATCCAGGCGCTGGCGGTCGGTGAGACCTCGGTCTGGCGGACCTCGTTCCTGCAGCAGTCGGCCAGCGGGAAACAGGGCCCGGATCCAGCCCTCCAGTCGCTTGTACTGCAGCGGCTTGACGCTCATGAGGCCCAGCTCGAGGCCCAGATCTCGCTTCGCGCCGACCAAGACGCTGCCTCTCGCAAGAACGTCCGTGCCCTCGACGCCGCCACCACAGAACTCGCTTCTGTTCGCGCCGCCCTCGACTCGATCACCACTGCTGCCGACAAGCTGCTCGCTGCCGAGTCACGCGCCCTCGACAGCCTTGAGACGGCGCTCCAGGTCGCCGGAGTCGAGCCCAAGACCTTGGTCGGCCCAGCCGACGCCGCCGCCGCCGCTGCCGCCTCGACCGCCTCGGCGCTTGCTGCGTCGGCCGGTGCCACGCCCGCCGCTGCTGGCATGCTCGAGCGCCTTCGCCTCGCCACCCAGCACGCCTCACTCCGCGCCTCGGCCGTCCGCAACGGCATCGCCGCCATTGCTGCCCGCGCTGCCGCTGCCGAAGGCAACGCCGCCGACGTCGGAGACTCGGCCCGCGCCCTGGCCGCCGAAAAGGCCCAGCTGACATCGACGCTCGAGCGTCTTGCTGCCGAGCACGCCGCCCTTGAGCTCGAGCTTGATCCGGCCACCACTCGGCTTGCCACGCTCGAAGCCGAGCTCTCCAACGCACTCGCCCGTGCCGACGAGGCCACACAGGCGCTCGCTGCCGAACGAACCGTCACCGCCGACCTCCACGCCCGCCTGCAAGAGGCCCAGCTCGCGCAGCAGGCGCTCACAGACGAGAATGCCGTCCTCGCCGCCGACCGCGCCACTCTCGCCGACAACGCCGCGTCCCGAGCCGAGCGCGATGCTGATGTCGAGCGCGCCTATGAGGAGGAGCTTGTGACCTCCAACGCCGAAGTCTCTCGCCTCTCCAACCAGCTCCGCGAAGCCATCGCCGAGCTTCGCGAGTTGGAGGCGCTCAAGGACAAATATGCCGACTCGCTCAATACGCTTGTCCAGCAGATGGCGGCTCTCGAGCTCGAGCATGAGACCCTGCTTGGCTCAGTCAACGAGCTCGAGCGGGCTGCCAATGCGGCACGGACCGAGGCCAACGACGCCAACGAGCACGCGCTCGCCCTTACTCGCGAGCTGGAGGACGCCCGCGAGGAGGCTGCCGCCGCCCTCCGCGCCGCCAAGGAGGCTGCATCAACTCCAGCCCAGGTCGAGCTCGACTTGGCCGCCCTCCAAGCAGAGCGCAACGTGCTCCGCGCCAACCTCGACGCCGCCAACTCGCGCATTTCGGCACTCGAGGCTGCCGCAGACCGCGCCGATGTCGCCCACACTGCGGCGCTCTCCGAGGCCCAGGCCGCTTCGCTCCGGGCCGAGGGCGCCGACCGCTCGCGGATCAACCACAACGAGCTCATGGACGAGCTGCTTGAGGCCCAGGCCGCGTTGCGGGAAAAGTCGGCGCTCGTTGCTGCCAAGTCGGATGCGCTGTCACGGTCGCAGGCCAAGCTCGCCGCCGCCAACGCAGAGCTTGCCGCTCTCCGCACCCGTGCCGCCGCCGCCGCCGATGCCGACGCTGCCAACGCCAACCTTCAGACTCAGATCGCTACTCTCTCGGCACAGGCTGGCCTTGCTGCTGAGCAAAGAGCCGAGCTCCGGTCGCAGCTGAAGGCTGAGCGCGAGGCCAAGGAGGGAGCAGACGCTGCACTTTCCGCCTCTCGCTCCGAACTTGCCGCCGCCAACGACCACATTGCCGACCTGCAAGCTCGTCTCCAATCGCTTGGCGCCGCTTCGGCGCTCTCGTCCGAAGCCCGCTCCGAGGCCGGCAAGCAGCTTCGCGAGCTGGCCGCCGACCTTGCCGACGCTCGCGCTGCACACTCGGACGCTCTCGCCGAGCTCCGAGCCAAGGCTTCCGAGGTCGACGAGCTGAAGGAGTCGCTCATGGTTGCCTCGGTCCGACTCGAAGCCGCCGACGACGCTGTTGCCAAGCTCCGCAGCGAGCTGGCTGCGCGATCAACCGCGCTCGACGAGGCTCTTGCCCGCGTTGCCTCGCTCTCTGCCACCGCCGACGCCGCCCGCGCTACCGAGACTGCCGCCCGCTCACAGGCTCGCGAGGTCGAAGCGGCTGCTACTGCCAGGGTCGGCGAGCTCGAAGAGCTGCTTGTTGCGCAAGACGATGCCATGCGACAGCAGCGCGAGGCTCAGCTGATGCAGGCTGCGAACCAGGATGCGTATGACGGCGCCCTGGCTGCCCTCGATGAGGCCAAGCGCGAGATCGAGAGTTTGCGGAGTGCCAACGCCGGGCTCGAGTCCCGTCTGGCTGCCGCCCATGATGATGCTGTCAACGCGGTGCACGAGGCCAACAGCACGGCCGCGAGTGCAGTGTCGGCGGTGACAGCCGAGCGTGACGAGTGGGAGCGCTCAGCCAAGAGTGCCCAGGACAAGGTCGCGGCCTGGCGCGACGAGGTCCTCCACCGTGACAACACGATTGCTGCACTGGAGGCCGATGCCGCGGCGGCCGCCGCGTCCTTAGCCAAGGTTCAAGACGAACTGGCTGCCGAGCGCGCTCTGGTTGCCGGCCTCGAGACCGAGCTCGAGACTGCAAAGCAGTCTGTTGCCTGGCACGCCGCCGACATTGCCAAGAAAGATGCCGCGCTGGCCTCGCTCGAGGCCCAGCTTGACGACACGGCAGCGGCGCGGCGCAATGAGACGTCGGCCGACGCCGCCAAGCGCGACTCGCTTGCTGCACAGCTGGCGGCCCTGTCGGCCGCGCACGCTACGCTCACCGCCGAAAAGGAGGCGCTCATCACTGAGATGGGCGCGCTCCGGGCCAAGCTGGCGGCGGCGCTGGGCGACGAGACTCGAGCGTCGTCAGAGGCCCACGCGTCGGTGGCAGCCGAGCGCGAGGCGGCACGGGCGGCACGGCGCGATGCTGCGGCTGCCCGGCGGGAGCTAGATGCCGCGCTTGCTGCTCGCGACGAGGCTGCCACCAAGGCAGCCGCTGCCGCCATCGAGATCGACCGAATCCGGGCTAAGCTGGAGGCCTCGGCCTCGGCCTCGGGCTCGATCCAAGACCAGGTCGAGGGCCTTGCCCTTGAGCTTACGGCGCGGCAAGAGGCTCAGCGAGCACTGCAGGCCGAGTTCAATGAGCTGCTGGCGAGCAAGGACCACGCGCTGAGCAAGGCGACCGAGGCTGCTTCGGCCGAGTCGGCCAAGCTCGCTCTCCTTGCCGAGAAGCACGAGGAGGCGCTGGGTGAGCTCGAGGCGACACGAGCGCGAGTGGTCAAGCTGGAGGCATTGCTTGCGTCGTCGTCGTCGGCGATGGACAAGCAGAGCTCAACAGCGGCTGCGTCGAGCGCTGCGGTAGCTCAGTTGACCGACAAAGTCCGGGACGCGACGACGCGGATTGCGAGCCTCGAGTCGGAGCTTGATCACGAGCGGGCGTCTAAGGCGCTGCTAGCAACCTCGCTCGAAGCCAAGTCGCTGCAGGCCGAGTCGGCCAAGGCTGAGATTGAGCGACTGACCGAGGTCAACGAGCAGCTCCGCCAGCGGCTCGAGCTGGAGCAAGCCGAGGTCCTCCTCCTCAAGCAAGAAGTGGAGCAGCTCCGGCTGCGCGGCGCGACCGAGTCGTCGCTGGCGCAGCTGCAGGAAGCCGAGATCCGGCGCCTTGCGTCGCACAATGCTTCGGCCGACTTTTCGGCTGCCCTCCTCCTCGATCGATCCATGGCCGCCGAGTCGCATGCGGCCGCAGTCACTGCGACCGCCGCCCAGCCACCGTCGCTCTCTCCAGCTGCCCGCCACACCGCCGCGGCCCACGATGATGACCTCGCCGCCATGCGAAAGCGGCTCGAACACCAGCGTGCCCAGATCCAGCGCTACCGCCAGTCTGTCCTCGATGGCGTCGACGACGAAGATGATGGCGATGGCGATGACGACTATGACGACGACTACGGCGATGGTGACGACGACGACGACGATGGTGACGACGACGATGGCTACGAATCACAGTCATTCCTTGAGTAAACATGACCCGACGACCAATGCCGTATCCACGTCTTTGCCAAGTAGCTAATGCCAATACCATGTACCTGCAGGCAAATGGTGCAACCCTCGCAAAATCTGATTCCGAGAATGGATGGCAACCATGTGTGACCGAACAGAATGGCGCTGGCAGACGGACGAGATCCGAGCGGGACGAGCGGGACGGCGGGAAGAAGAAGCAATACTTGACGCCACACCCGCGGACACCAACTAAAGCCGTTCGGGAGCAAGCATTGTGTATCCGGCAGTGGAGCTAGTCGTCGGCTATGTTGTTCGCGAAGGCCGACAAGGCCAAGGACAAACCGTACAGTGGGGCGTGGGACGCCGAGGCGGCCGAGTCTTACCATGAATCATCGTTTGACGAGAACGGAGAGGGGGAAGAGGGGCATGGCGAAGCCATTCTCATCGAGTCGACCGACATTTGCTCATTCCTCTGCCGTGGTGCAATCTCGTTTGTCCGCTGGTGGTGTGTCATTCCGCTGATCATCGTAGCCATCTGGGCATCGCTCTTCTTCACCCTCGCCCTCGACTGGCCGAAGTGGCAGAGCAACCACATCGAGATCAAGGACTGCATCGTCATCGGTGAGACCTTCACCTCGTCGAGTGCCTACCATACTGTCGGCATCATCCGCGACAACGTGACGTATCCCTTTAGGGTCAACGACTTGCAGATGGCCGAACGCAAGTTCTCGTGCGGTGTCGACGACAACATCTACGATCTGTTGGAGGACGAGACGATGCCCGGCGACTTTATCTCGTGCTATGTCAACAAGAAGGCGTGGGAGGCTGCCGGACAGCATCCTGCGGCATACAGGGGGCCGGTCAAGATCTGGCCCGAGGTTGTGCGGTTTTGTTGGATTCTGTACCTGCTGCCGTCGCTGCTCATCCCGCTACCGATGATGGCGGCCTTCCTCGCGATTGTGATGTGTGTTTGGTGCAGCTCGACGCATCCTGCCGACGTCAAGTGCCGGCAGGCACTGTGTCGCGGTGGCGCCGCCTCTTTTCCGTGGTGCCTCATGGGCGTGGGCGTCATCATCTGGCTCTCGGTCTTCCTCGCGGTCATCTTGCCTACCTACACTGACGACGGAGTGTGCACGGTTGTGGCCAAGGCACGGCGGATTGACTGCCTGTTTTGCTGGGACGGCGCCTCGCGGACGCCCAAGGGCGCGATCAACTGGTGCACATCGCGGCTGTGCGAGCCGGCCAAGCGGGCGGACTTGCCACGGTCGCTCTACACGGCGCGGGTAGAGGTCGATTACGTCTCGGGCTCGCGGTCGGGCTTTGCGGTTGCAGACCGGGACATTGTGGCCGTCCCGGAGCGATCGTCTCTTGGCTCGTCGACAAGAGATGCCAAGGTGTCCCCGTTCCTGGACGCAATCCAGGTGGGACAGGTGATCAACTGCCATGTGGGCAAGTTTGGCTCGCGACATGTGTACCTGCGCGACCCCGCGGAGCGGTCGGCCATCAAGGCGGCGTTTATTGTGACGACGATTCTTCTGGTGCTCTCGCTGCTGACTGGCGCGTCGCTCTTGTTGAAGATGAATCAGTGCTGCTCTTGGTGCTACATGGATCCCAAGCCATCTGCAATTGGACGAGCAAGCGCGTCGCTGGATGCAATGATGAGCTCGAAGGAGCCGGTGGCTAGCGAGGGCCCGACGATTGTGCACGCGCACAAGTTTGAGGGCGCCAAGTTGTCGACGATATTTGGCGTAGACGCTGCGGCTGCCCCGACGGCCAAGAGCGACGAGAGCTCGCTCCCGATCGAAGGCTCGGACGTGCACCTGCGTGCGTCAGAGATGTCGTCGGACCTCGCGGCGATTCTGGCGGAGATTGGGTCGTTTGACGACTCGGACTCGGAGGAGGCTGTGAAGCGGGCACTTGTCAAAGACAAGGCGTCGGGCGTGCCGGTGGTAGTCCGTGCCAAGCGTGAGCGGATCAAGCGGCTGGTGAACCACGTCGAGTCGAGCGACTCGGACGATGTGGCCGAGAAGATGGTCGAGGTCAAGCAACTGCTCAACGAACTGGACCCGAGCCTGTTCCATGTGCTCACGCACGAGCTCGAGCAAGTGAAGAACGACGACGCGGACGCGCCCTCGGTGGACGTGCTCCTCCTCCGCCTCTTGCGCGAGCGGTCGTCGTCGTCGTCGTCGTCGGGCATCGACTCGGATTCTGACTCGGAGTCCGAGTCCGAGTCGGAACGGTACTCAGATATGGACGAGTCCGAGTCGGACTCAGAGGCTGACGACGAGGAAGACTCTGATGAGGAGTTTGACTCCGAGTCAGAATCCGAGTCCGAGTCCGAGTCGAACAAGCGTGCGCGGCGAGCAAAGGCGCGGTCGCGGATGGTCCGCAGGCGAAAGTAAAAAGCAAAGGCGTGTCTAGAGTTTACTGCTTCTCGAACTGGAGGCCGGTGAGGAGGGCGAGGGCGCTGGTGAGATTCTCAATGGCACCGTCGATGTCGTGGAAGGCGAGCGAGGATGAGACGTACGACGCAAACTTGGTGGCCTGGTTCTTCTGCTTGACGGTCGGCTTGTAGCCGGGGAGCGGGGTGATGCGAATGATGCCTGGGTGTGATGTCTGAGCGGCCGTCGCAGCCGGCGCCGGAGCGGGTGCCGCGGCCGGCGGCGCTGGTCCAAAGTTGTGGGCCGGAGGCGGCGTGGGAGTCAGATCCACACCCGGTCCCGGGATGTGCGGAGCCGGTCCACTGCTTCCACCACCAAATGACGGCGGTAGGGGGCCTGAATTGGGAGCGACGCCTTGGCTGGGGTTGGCAGAAGGGGTGATAGGGAGGCCAAACTCGTCGACGGCCGGGCCCGAGCTTGGCTTGGGGGCGGGGTTAGAGTTGGCAGACGGGACGATGGGGAGGCCAAACTCGTCAAATGCCGGGCCCGAGCTTGGCTTGGGGGCGGGATTAGAGTTGGCAGACGGGACGATGGGGAGGCCAAACTCGTCAAATGCCGGGCCCGAGCTTGGCTTGGGGGCGGGATTAGAGTTGGCAGACGGGACGATGGGGAGGCCAAACTCGTCAAATGCCGGGCCCGAGCTTGGCTTGGGGGCGGGATTAGAGTTGGCAGACGGGACGATGGGGAGGCCAAACTCGTCAAATGCCGGGCCCGAGCTTGGCTTGGGGGCGGGATTAGAGTTGGCAGACGGGATGATGGGGAGGCCAAACTCGTCGACGGCCGGGCCCGACGAGGGAGGTTGGGATGGTGAGGAATCACCACGAGCAGCGGCAGCAGCGGCTTGGGCCTCGGCAGCGGCAGCGGCAGCACGGGCCTCGTCCTCCTCCTTGTGCTCCTGCGGACCACCAGGGCGTGGCTGCTTGCCGGCCTTGATTGCCTTGGAGATCTGTACCGCCTTCCACTTGGCGTACTTTTTCTTCTCCTCGATGTCCGCGGCCAGCGGGCCAAAGACCCTGAGGACCTGGTAAAAGTTTGAGGCTGCGCGAAAGCGAAGGGCGGTGCCGATGGAGGCGACACCGGCACGATCCTCATCATCAGCCCCCTTAAAGACCTTGTGTGCAAAGTTCTCGACGTAGATGGCAGCCTCCTCGGACTCTGAGCCCAGGAGCGGCGAGTCCGGCAGAGCCTTCTTCACCTGCTCCAGCGACGACATCAGCTCGTTGAGGTACTCACGGGTCTCCTCTGTCGCGGCCGAGTACATGGAGATGCATTCTTGAACAACATACATCCGACCTGAGAAGATGGCCAACGATACCCCCATGCCCGAGCACATCCATCGTCCGCCACCGCCACCGCCACCGCCGCCGCCAACGCCACCGCCACCGCCATCGCCATCGCCACCGCCATAGCGATAACAGCAGTCACAGTAGCATCCAGAGCGGTAGCCATCCCCACATCCCCCGCACCATGCATTGTTCCCCATCCCACAAGTCATGTTCCCCATCCCATGTGCCATCGTCCCCAAGAGTGAGTGTTCCTTCTCCGCACATGCACCCTCTCCACACCCCCCTCCCCCCCTTCCCCCCTCCCCTCCCCCCTCCCACCCCCGCCCCCCTCCCTACGTACAATAGTATGCAACAACAGGGTCAACATTGGCAAGCTCGTTCGCCCGGTTGATGTACTGCTGGTACGGCTTGAGTGGCGCAGGTACAGACATGGCCGCTCTCGGCTGTGCAGTCGAGTGGTGTGGAAGGTGGCCGCCGCGCCGCATCCGGTGGCCGCCGCAAGTCGGCTTGCGGGTTCGGCACGGGGATCGCAATGGGGATCGGGGCCAGATCGTGGCTTGAGGGGAAGGGGATATGTTGACGTGTGCATGTATGTGTGTGTGTGTGTGTATGTGTGTGTGTGTGTGTGTGTGTGTGTGTGTGTGTGTGTGTGTGTGTGTGTGTGTGTGTGTGTGTGTGTGTGTGTGTATATGTGTGTGTGTATGTGGTATGGTAGGTGTGATGCCGCCGTGTGTGTCTCACATTGATGGCATCGGACACAAACGCCAAGACTGCGAAGTGAGTCGACCCAGCCCCTGGCGACCGACTGGCTTGCTCACTGACCGCTGACCTCAGCCCCACGACGACGACCACCAGCTCCCTCACCGCCAACCGCCCACACCCGCACACTCCACTCTCTCCACCGCAAACCCTACATGTTGTTCTCGCGGCGGACGCTGGCCGTCGTCCTTCTCGCAGCTGTCGTCCTCAGCGTTGTCCTCGACCTCGCCGAGGCAGCCAAGACAGGTAAGACGGGCAAGACAGGCAAGACGGGCAAGGGGGGCAAGGGGGGCAAGGGGGGCAAGACGGGCAAAAAGGCGAGGGTGAGCCACGTGATCAAGCTGACTGCCAAGAACTTTCGTGAAAAGGTGCTCGACTCGTCCGAGACGTGGATGGTCGAGTTCATGGCGCCGTGGTGTGGCCACTGCAAGGCGCTGACGCCGGAATGGGCGCGTGCTGCGGGGAAGCTCAAGGGCGTTGTTCGCTTTGGCGTCGTCGATGCCACGGTCGAGACTGCTCTTGCCTCAAAGTACGGCATCAAGGGCTATCCCACCATCAAGGCCTATACCGGCAACGCTTTCACCAAGCGCTCAAAGTCGGGCAAGACGTCCAAGCTCCGCCGCAATGTCGAGGACTACCAGTACGAGCGCAAGGCCAAGGCTTTGGTCTCCTTTGCCCGCTCCAAGCTGCACTCGAACGTCATCCGCATCAAGGACACGGCGGCCGCGCTCGAGAGCTACGATGCCCGGCTCGGCGCCGATGCCCCGCGCGTCGTGCTCTTCACTGACAAGAAGGCCACCACTGCTCTGTACAAGGCGCTCTCCAACGTCTTTTACTCGCAACTGGCACTTGGCGAGGTTGTCGCCGCCTCGCCCAAGGCCAAGGCCAAGATCCAGGACCTGTTGGACGCCTATGGCGTCGACTCGTTCCCTACCCTTGTTGTCGACCCGTCGCGCGGCGCCAATCCGTCCACCGCGCTTGTCTACGACGGCGAGTTGACTGTCGACGCCATCGCCGACTGGCTCCGTCCCCACGCCGGTGCACCAAAGGCGGAGGCGGAGGCCAAGGCGAAGCCCAAGGCGGAGGCCAAGGCCAAGGCAGAAGCCGAGACCAAGGCTGAGACAAAGCCGTCGCCGTCGCCGTCGCCGCGCAAGCCGCGAACCGCCAAACACATCGACTCGCCGGCCGCGTTTGAGAAGCGGTGTATCGGCGCGCGCGGTGTGTGCGTCCTTGCGTTTGTCGGCCTCGCGCCCGTTCCCGCTCCACCGGCACCGTCACCGCAGGCGCTCGACGGCCTCGTCGAGGACGAGGGCGCCGACGAGGGCCTCTGCACCAGCCCGCCACCAGACGGCGCGCCGACACTGCCGCCCGCGGTGGCCGAGTCACTGACGACGCTGGCCACCCACTTTGCGCGCGACCCGCTACGGCTCTCGTGGCTCGACGCGACGACCAACGTGGCGGCGGCGGTGGTTCTCGACGCGCTCCCGGCACCGGGCGAGGTGGCGCTCGTTGCACTCAAAACAGGAAAGCGCCCGCGCTACGCTGTCGCCCGCATGCCCGAGGCCGAACTTGCGTCGGCCGGCCGCGCCTTTCTTGACGGCGTCGTCGGCGGCTCGGCGGCGTACACCCGGCTCGACGATTCCCTTGCCGAGCTTGCGGCGCTTGTGGCCAAGCCCGCGCCGAGCGAGTGCGGTGCATGAATGAAGCAGTGCGCGACGTAGAGTGTGCATGCTTGCTACTCGTTGAGCGGCTCAACGACGCGGCGCTCCCACTCCAGGCCGTTGCGGAGCCACTCGACGGTGGGCCAGTACTCGTTGTTGATGCGGAGGGTGACGACGACGGTCTTGCCGCGGAGTGAGACCGTGTGGAGGCGGGCGCTCTCACCGGTCTTGAGGGTGCGGAGGACGGCGAGGCAGGCGTCGAGGTCGGGCGTCGGCACGTTGTTGATGGCAACAATCCAGGTCTTCGAGACAAGGCGCCAGAGGTGCGCTGACGAGCCAGCGTGAAGCCGGGCGACGTACACGCCGCGCGGCATGTCCTTCTGGTACAACTGGAGCTCGAGGAACGACGGCTGGAGCAGCGCACCCTGCCAGTACACAAAGCGGGCGCGCTCGTCGGAGACCAGCGGCGTGGTCTCCATCGGCACCTCGATCTGCGAGCCGCCACGCCAGAGGGTGAGCGAGACCGAGGGCGCAGTAGCAATGGCGGCAGCAAAGCCGGCAAAGGTGGCGACAGGCGTGCCGTCGACGGCGAGGACAATGTCACCGGCGGCGAGGGCGTCGGCAGCCGGCGAGCTAAAGGCAACCTGCTCGACCTTGAGTGCCTCGTGTGAGCGCGAGATGGCGGCGAGGGTGTCGACCCAGGCCTGAGTGAGGCCGTACGCACGAGCGCCGCGGAGCGAGACCGTCCACAGCTGGACATGCGCCGTGTTGGCCGGGACTGGTTCCGTGAGGATCGGCCGCGACAGGTAGACGTCGAGGAACGGAGCGAGGACGGATGTGACCGGGATGCCACCAGCCGACTCGGCGACGGTCTTGGAAGGCTTGGCAAGAAAAGCGGCCCAGAACGCCTGGACGGCGCCGTCGTCGTCGACAAGCACGCCGCCGATGGACGAGAGCGTGAGGTCGAGGCGGACGGTCTCGATGTTGATCTGGCGGAAGGCTGGCGCCTTGGACCGGCGCATGCCAAACTTGGCGACCTTGGTCACCGACGACGCGCGGGTGATGAGCGTCTCGTCGGCGTTGAGGCCGACAAAGTGTGTGGCCGCGCCGGCGGTGAGAGGAGTACTCGAGAGGGTCGCCGACGCCACCGGCGTCGATCCCACCAAGCTCGGCTCGTACTGAACAATGGCAAAGTTGTGGATGGGGTGGAGGAAGAGGACGTTGGCCGGGACGTCAAAGGAGTTGGCAAATGAGATACGGACGTCGCCGAGCGAGATGGGGACAGTGCCGCGGTCGACAACGACGAGGCCGCGAGCAGCGTCGACAATGAGCCCGGCGCCGATGAACCGCGACGAGACGACGCCGTCGATCATGTGTGGAATGGCCATGCGGACGACAACGAGCGAAGGCGCGAGGGCCGCTGCAATGCGCGACGTGCCCGCGTCGAGGAGCGGGGTTGACTGCGGAGCGCGCGGCACCGGCGCCGGCGCCGGCGGCGAGAGCACCGTGTCCCACACACCAGTGGCGTCGTTGCGGACGTGGCGGGCCATAGGGAACCACTTGCGGTCGATGATGGCGATGGCGACAACGTTGCGCGAGGGGTCAGCCACGTTAAACGCATGGAGTGTGACCTTGGTACCGTCGGCAAAGCCTGCGAGCTGCGCTTCAAAGGTGTCGAGGTCCGGGACGGGCGTGCCGTTGATGGCGGTGATGACCGAGCCAGCGGCAAAGCCGCCCGATCCCAGCGCGTGGCCGGCGGAGCAGACGTAGACGCCTTCGAGCGGGATCGACCGATTGAGGGCAATGTGGTAGGGAACAGCGTGGAAGATGCCGGCCGAGAACGAGACATACTCTGCCGGGGTGATGGCGTGGAGGTCGACGACTGGAAGGCAGAGCTCGACAAGCTCGCCGCCGCGGCGGACGGCGAGGCTCACCTTGTTGCCGACCGACTCGTCGAGCACGGCCTCGAGGGTAAGGAACTCGTTGAGCGGCACGCCGTTGAGCGTCCACACAATGTCGCCAACAGCAAGGCCGGCTGCCTCGGAGGCCGAGCCGGCGAGAACCTTGGAGACGACGAGGAGGCCGTTGCCGGATGGGAACGTCGCCCGCGCCGCGGCCTCGTCGTCGGGAGAGAGGCCGAGCCGGCGGAGCTCGTCGTAGTGCTTGTGGGCAAAGACAGTGGTGAGGGTACCGCGGGGAACAGACTTGCCGGCGGCGAGGAGCGCGAGGGCGCGGGCTGGCCGATCGAGCGGGAGATAGAACGAAGAGGCCGCCGACGACTTGCCGCCGGCGTTGAGGGCGATGGCGGCGCCGGAGCGATCAAGGACCGGCGAGCCAGACGAGCCGCCCGACGTTCCAGACGCGGCCTGGTAGTAAAACGTATTAAAGTCATTTGCGGCTGACGAGCCGTAGAAAGGGGCCGGCCGGTCGAGGCGAGCAAGGGTCGAGTGGAGAATGGAGAGCTTCTCGGCAGCGTCATTGCCGACGACGCGGATGGGGATGCCGACACGAGCAAGGTCTGGAGCCAAAGGAATGGCCGGGAGCGGATCCAAGAACTTGAGCGCTGACGGATCAAATGCAAAGAACCCAAAGTCATGAACAGGATCACGATACAGAGGACAGAGTTCGATCTCCTCGTAGTTTGAGAAGGAGGCATAGGCGATGACCGGACCAGGGCGAACCACATGAGCATTGGTGAGAATGAGGCCCTTGACAGCATCGACCACAAAGCCCGTAGCATGGCTGGCTCCAGCACGATACGTCGAGAACGGAACAGTCGTAGCAAACGAGATGGAGACAATAGCCGGAATGGCTCCCGCCAGCGTCGTCTCCCATGCGCTCTCGTCCGACGGCGGCGGCAAACCCGCCCCAGGAGCAGGGCCGGTGGGAATGGCCTGGCTGGGCGCGCCCTCGTCGTCGTCCGAAACGTAGTCGGCCATTAGGTGTGAGAGGATGGAGGTGGTGTGCGTGGGTGTGTGAGTAGGTTGGGTGGGGTGTGACGGTGTGTGGAGGCGGCGTGTGCGACTTTGCTCGGTGGCTGCGGTTAGTCAGGGCGGACCAATAGGGCGAGGCGATCAGGGCAGGTGATTCGGGAGAGGGTTAGGATTGGGTGGCTTGGGGCGGGTGGGTGTTCGGGCTGGCGTGGCTTTGAGTTGGCTGGGCGGGCTGGGGCGATCAAGATTTTGATCGGGGTGGGCGCGGGCAATGCCGTGGCGGGGACGGGCGATATCGATGTTTATCTGTTCAAAATCATGACTAGTTCCGAGCCAGGGGTTGGCGATGGGAGGGCGCAAGGTACGTGGATGGCTGGGCCGCCATCAGCTGCGGCGCCCGCGCCGGCGTTTCGGGACGGAGAGGACGATGCGCTGGCGAGCCCAGCGACCGCGGCCCTCAAACACAGCCTCGGCCTCGACGACACCATCGGTAGTCCCGGCCACGGTCTCGGCCCATCGGGTCATGTTGCCCTGCTGCAGTTTGTCCAAGACGACGGAACCAACCCCCAGAGCCATTGCTGACATGAAAACTAGCATAGTGCCGACAGCTGCGGTCTCGGGAAGGGGGGGCCTGATGATGACGACTACGATGATGGCGATGAGAGCAGCCACGAGCCACAGCAAGCTCAACACGCGCACAACCCGAGCCGAGCTCTTGGCCTCGTCATCAGCCTCATCCATGATGCGATTGTACATGCCCACCTCGGTCGCCTTGTCCACCGCCCGCATCGCCTTGCGCGAGCGATGGTATGACCACCCGAGCCAGGTCCAGCAAGTGCAACCAAAGTTGCGACTGCCGGCGTGGGCAAATTCTTCCCGGTCCTCCGAGGACCCGTACGAGTAGTCGGAGTAGTCGGAGTACGACGGCGGAGAGATCGAGCTCTTCTTCGAGCGCTTCTTCGAGGACTTGGCCATGGCTTGCTACGAGTTGAAGTCTGCAGAAGTCGTGTGTGAGGGTGTGTGTGGGTCCCCTCGCTTGTAGGTGCCCGACAGTTTTTATTTCATTGCGGTGGTTGGAACCTCCCGTTGTTGTCGAAATTGGTGGTTGGTACCATCGCGTGGGTTGCCGCCGCGAGCGTGGCATGTCGTGCCTGCCATTGCTGCTGCCTCGGCGCTACGCATTGCCTGCTCTTGTCTATCGACAGAGTCTCCACCTCCAGTTGTGAGCTGCCACGTCCATGGCTTGGTGGGCACAAGCCGCAGTGGCGCCTGTCCCGTCTCGGCCGAGTAGCGGTGGTTGTGGGGCGACCGTCCTCTGTGGACGGTGCCAAAGACAGTGTTTATAACGGCTGCTGCGGTGCTGCCTCGGCACCGAGAATGTAATGTGCATGCTTCGATCCATCAGAGACAACTTCTACCTCGACGACGCCACCGGTGGTGTCTTCCGCGGTGGCAGCCCAGCGGATCATCGCACGCTCATATACAGACTGAGCTGGATTGTGCTTACGCTGCAAGTAGGAGCATCCACGGAAGAAGAGGCATGGTGCCCCATAAAACGGAGCGAAAATGATAACCACCAAGAAGTAGGGCTTGGTGAGGAGAATGACAACTCCCACAAGGGGGCCAGTGCGATCCATACCAAACGAACCAGCGCAACTTCCGGGCAATGCAGTTGCCGTTGTTGTCGGCCTCATCCACGAGGCGATTGAACATGCCCATCTCGGCCGCTTTGTCAACAGCCCGCATCGCCTCTCGAGCAGTGGAACTTGAGCTGGCCACCCATGCAGCGGCAGCAGCCGAGATTGGCCGTCCCCGCGAGACGCTACACTTTCCGGTCCACCGAGGACTCGTACAAGTAGTCGGAGTAGTCAGAATACGCCGGTGGGGAGGCCGAGCTATTCTTGGAGCGCTCCTTCGAGTGCGTGACCATGGTTTGCTACGAGTTGAAGTCGGCAGTAGTCGTATGTGAGTGTGTGTGGGTACCCTCACTGGTACTTGCCCAACAGTTTTTGTTGTGGAGTTGTGGTGCTTGGAACCCCGAGTTTCTGGCGAAATTGGTGGTTAGTAGGTACCACGCTGGTTGCCGCCGCGAGCGCGGCATGTCGTGCGTCATTGTTGCACCTCGGCACTTTACACCACCGCTCCCTTTCTGAAGGGGGGGATGCGCTCACGAGCTTGTGCTGCGAGTCGCTTGCTCTCGCCGGCTAAGCGGAGCGAAGCGAAGCGGCTGGCATCTTGCTTCAACAGCAGCTCGAATTGGCGTCGACACAGTCGGCTCCATAGGAGCGGGAACTTGCCCACCCACCCTTGAGTGACGATCTACGTCGACGACGAATGTCCCAACAGCGCGCGGTACACAAGCAAGGTGACCGGGGTTCGCCGCAAATTGCCAAATTGAGGCTCAATGAGAGCCACCGGGACACATCAGATTGACCGTTGCCAACAAAGTCGCCGCGCAGGCACGGCAGCGAGGGTCAAACCAAGCGAACAAGGGTTAGCACACGGCTCGCAGCAAGGCAGAGGAACGAAGATGTCGGTCTTCTTTGACGGAGCAGTCTCACTCGTGACCACCGTTCCTGCGCTCGCGGACGCGCTTGCGAGTCTGACCGGCGAGCCGCTACTCGGCTGCTCGCTTCATTGGCCGGTGGTGGCGCTGGCCTCGGCCGACGCAGCGGTCCTTGTCCACATCGGCGCGCTTGGCCATGTACCTGCCCCGCTTGCTGCCGTGCTCGAGTCCGAGGGAATTGCCAAGGCGTGTCTTGGCGTGACCAAGGCCGACAAAGCTGTCCTTGCCGCCGAGTATGGCACGCATCTGGTCAACACCATCGATGTGGCATCGTCGGCCGCCGCCGGCGGCTTTGTCCTTACTGGCGGCTACAACGCGCCGTCGAGTTACTCGGTCGCTGCTGCTCTCAGCGATCTTGCTGCGCAGGTGCTTGGGACTTTGCTTGACACAAGCATGGCCGGATCCGACTTTGCCGCTCGCTCGCTGGCACCCGAGCAGATTGGCTTTGCCGCCACCTCGGCCTGGCTCCTCCGCGCGCTGGCCACCGCCCTCATGTGGGGTCCGGTCGCCGACACACCGCTCCTCCACTGCACGGTCTGCAGTCGCCGCTTTGCCTCGCGCTCAATCCTTGCCCAGCACGCCACCGAGACTGGCCACATCGCCGAGCCGTGGGCTCCGCCGCCAATGTCACCCGCGCCCGCGCCCGTCGCCGGCGCCCGGACCATCTCGGCCGCGCGCGCGCGCAGCTTCCTGCTTTGCGATGTGTGCGAAGAGTTTTTTGACGGCCCGGACGCGCTCCAGCAGCACCAGGATGCGCGGCGGCACTATCTGTCGTGCGCCGGATGCGCCGCCACCTTCTACACCCGGTCCGAGCGAGACGCGCACCAGTCGGAAGCTGGTCACCTCTACCAGTGCCCGATCTGCCGTGCGGCGTTTGGCTCCAAGCCGGGCGTCCACGCACATCAAGCGGCCGAGGGCCACACATTTGCCTGCGGCTACTGCACCGATCCCTTCTACACCCAGCACGAGACCGACGTCCACACCACCGCCTGCCATGCTAGCGAGTGTGAGTTTTGCGGCGAGCGGATCCTCGCCTCGTCGCCAGCCGTCGCACTTGCGCGGCACCACACGCTCGCTCATGCCTCGGTCCAGGCCTCGCCGCGGCCGATCCCCTCGCCGCGGCCGGTCCGCTCGTCGCCTGGCCTTGCCCGGGCCACGCCAGCCGCACCCGCTCGCGTCGTCTCCACCCCGTCGCCATCGTCGCGGCGCATGCTTTCCTTCTCACGTACCTCTACGCCACAGACCCCATCGTCACACCTCCCGCGATCGGCCTCCCCGCCACCACTCTCAGCCTCGATGCTGATCCATTGAACAGAATGCTCAAGACAGGCAAGCTACGCTGTAGTGATGCGGGCCAGCCGCAGCTGCCGCACTGCGATCACGTACGACGATCACGCACCACGACCACTCACCACGATTACGCACCGCAATCACACGCCGCAAGCATCATCGACGACACTCTTTCAACAGTAACCCTGTCCCATTCCCCCCCCCCCCAGGGCCATAATGGCAGGCCAAATTGGGTGCGCAACCCCCCCCCCCCTCGGCCACGCCTGACAGCTGACTCTAGCGGACCAACTGCAGCACCACTCCTCTCAAGCGCGCCCAACTCTACACACACACACACACACACACGCACACAGAAGGAGACGCGCGGAAAACACACGATGGCAGACGAACCACCCTTCCCGCCTATGGTCGAGGTATCCCTGCCTGGAACGCCGACAACGCGCTCGCGGACCATTCAGGCTGGCTTCTCGCCGCCAAACTCGCGGAGTCCGTCGACCTCGCCGCGGTTCGAAAGTCGGAGGGGAAGAGGCGGTCGAGGTGGTGATGGCGGGAACGATGAGCGGGCGAACCCGTTTGTGTACACTACACCGCTACAGAGTGCGTCGTGGTACGAGTGGATCAAGCTCGGCGTCAACTCGATTGTGCTGGTCCCTGTTCGGAGCCTGGCCATTGGTCTCTGCCTCTTGGTCATGTTCGTCACGGCAAAGATCTCGCTCCTCGGCTGGGCTGCTCCTGATCACACCGTTCCGCTCCCACGCTGGCGGGTTGCTCTCCAGACTCCGCTGCCGTACCTGGCTCGTATTGTGCTCTTTTGCTTTGGCTATGTGTGGATCACTGAGCGCGGCCGCCCGGCGCCGCGTGAGCAGGCGCCGATCGTCGTCGCCGCCTCGCACACCGGCATGATGGAGGGGCTGTACATGCTGTGGAAGATTTCGCCGTCGGTGGTCTCGGTCTCAGACAACGCCGCGACGCCGGTGCTGGGCACGCTCCTCTCGGCGGCGCAGGTCATCTACGTCAACCGGTCGGACCCAGGCTCGCGGCACGCGGTGCTGGAGCACATCGGCGAGCGCGCGGCCCGGCCAGGGCTTTGGCCCCAGACGCTCATTTTTCCCGAGGGCCTCTGCACCGCGCGGACGGCGCTCATTACGTTCAAGAAGGGCGCGTTTGTGCCGGGCAAGCCGATCCAGCCGGTCGCGCTCGCCTACCCGTACCGCCACTTTTCGGTGGCCACCCTCTCACTCGGCCCGTCGCCGCTGGCTATTCTTTGGCGGACGCTTGCTCAGTTTGTCAACCACATGGAAGCGACGTGGATGGAGGTGTGGGAGCCGAACTTTGAGGAGCGCGCCGCGCCGGATCGCTGGGCCCGCGAGGTCCGCGCCGCCATCGCACAGGAGCTCGACCTCCCGGTCTCGGACCACACGTACGAGGACCTCAAGCTCCTACTCGAGGCCCGCCGCGCGGCGCTGCCCGCCGACGCCGCCCTCCTTGAATTCGACGCCCTGCAGACCCTTCACGAGATCAAGTTTGAGCAGGCTGCCGAGCTCCTGCACAAGTTCATTGCCATCGACACCGACAAGTCGGGCTCGGTCACCGTCGACGAGTTTGCCGCTGCCCTTGGCCTCCCGCCGGGCGAGCACGTCCAGCACCTCTTTGACGTTCTCGACCGCAAGCACGCCGGCCACCTCGACTTTCGCTCGTTTGTCATCGGCATCCTCTTCATCTCGGACGCCGTCTCGCGGGAGGACGTCATCCGCTTCGCCTTTGACATCCTCGACACCAACCGCGACGGCACCATCGATCTTGCCGAGTTTGAGAAGATCATGGCCACCGGTTTTCCCGACGTCGAGCCCGAGCAGGTCCGCGCTATCTTCTCCGCCGCAGACTCCCGCGACGTCGGCTATCTCGACTACGACTCGTTCCACGCCTACGCCACCTCGCACCCCGACCACATGTACTTGTTCATGGACATGGTCAACAAGCCGAACTCGCCACTGCAAGGCCTCTGATCTGCACCCTTCACCTTCTAAACGCATTTTACACAATGCCCAGCCCGCGAGCGCCGCATACGTCGGCAGCTCGCCGGCCGAGCCCGCTCACACCTCGGCACTGGTCTCGGCTCCAGCCTCGGCGGCAAGCTCGGCCTGCGCAAGTTGGGTCCGCAGCCGGCGGTTATACTCGACAAGCTTGGTCTTGGCCACGATGGCCTCTTCCAGTTGCGCCTCGACCTTGGCCAGCCGGGCCTTCAGCTCGGCGGCGCCATCAACGCAGTCATCGCAGCCAGCCGTCATCATCGCTGCGCAGTTCTCCTCATCGCCGAGCCGCGGATGGGCGGTGCCCCCAGCGAGCGCTGCCTCCTCCTCTAGCACCGCAATGCGAGCCACCGCCGCCGCCAACTGCGCCGCCAGCTCGTTATTCTTGGCCACGGCAGCCTTGAGCTTCCGTCCGCGCCGGCGGCTCTGCTCGGCCTTGGCGCCAAACCGCTCCTTGAGGAGCGCAAACTGCGTCGCCATGTACTTTCGCTCAGCCTTTTCCTTCCGCCTATCTCCTGTGCTTGTCTTTCCGGCCTCGCGGAGCAGATGTGTCGGCGCCGGCGCCAACGACGCCATTCGAACCTTTTGGCGCGTCGAGTCGAGTGTGCCCCGGACGCCCGTCGCCAGCCGGTCGCCGGTCCCGCCGTGTCGCAACCTTGTCGCCCGCCGGCACCAATTTTTTTGGTGGGCAGTCGTCCACCCCCCACCCCCCTCCACCCATGCCGAGCGGGGCATTGCTGCCTGCGCTGCGCCTGGGCAGTAGTCTCAAGCCGGCCACCGTCTCGGTCACGCACCGCTCCATCCCACTACCCCACTCCTGCTCCAGCAGCATCCACTCTATCCTTGCGTCTCACACCCTCAGAGTCCCACCATGGTACGCAGGTCATCCCTCCCTCCCCACCATACCCCCCCCCTCCATCGCTCACCGCCTCACACGCTACATCAGCCGGCTGTGGTGCGCCA